TTCCCAAGATCATATAAAAATGGTATTCTTTTTAGTTTTGAGTTCTTTTTTACATGTGGAAGAGAAAACTATTAATTTAGATTCATATAAACAGCTGTTTCAGTCTTGTAGGTCATGAGTACTGCATTGATTGCAGTGATGGAAACTGATTTAAAATCTTTAAAGCCTGTGGAATGTGCTCAATGTGAATATCAATAAACTAATTTGCTAATGGACTAGAAAGCTCTAATCAGTATTGAAATCCTCTGAGACATATAGGTTTGGGTTCTTTTTTTAAATCTTGCTTGGGATTACATAAATGCATTCTGAAATGTTCATAAGTTATTGACCTTGTTCTACACTAACAAAAATTAAGATTCTAAAAAATACCTATCTCTCTGGAGCTCTTTAAAATAATAATACGATTATATAGAAATTCCCTTAATGGCTTGCATGCATGACAAATACTATTTTAATTAAAATAGTTTGAAGCACGTGCCAGTACTGTTTTACATCTCAGTTATTTTAGTCCCAGGGTGGTTTCTGGTATCTGGCCTGACAGTACGGGGGTCCAGTCTCATTGAAACATCTTTTAATATTGAATGTTTTTGAACTGTGACAGTTGCCGTTCTTCACAACCTAACACGGGTACGAGGCAAAATCGCAGTTGTTCTGCCACTACTAGTCATGAATATATCCATTCTGAAACACTTTATTTAAACTGGTTCAGTTAGAAACGTCTTGATTCACCCACCAAAACAGGGCCTTTGTGTCAGATTCATTGTGTGAAGGGACAAACTTGTAAGTGGTATAGTATGTGATTAAACTTGGCTGTGTACATGTGTACAAGATAAGTAATTTCTAGCTGAGAAAAACTGGTTTATTTAGCTACTTGAAAATTCCTTCATACTTGATGGAAACCTGCCTGGCTGCCTTGTGGATCTACAGGAATGCTGCAGTGTCTGTTCAGCAGCTTTGTGGAAAACATCCAAATGATGACTGAAACCCATGGGATGTGTATTGGAAGTGGAAATGATAGGAAATACTTGAAATAAAAAACCCTATGATTTTGAATCAAAGCAAATTTAAAGATAATATGATCAGGGTGTCTAATAAAGTGATTTCTCAGTGGTTTGTTATACACTTATGTAACTTAAAACCTCAATATCTAGGGTTACAAACTTTGGGAAATCCAAAATAGTTTTAATGTATAACTAAAAACCCTGACTTGTGTTTTGGAGAGGAGCTGTTCTTAGCTTGATGATGCAAAAAGGATGTTGACAATTTTCTCCCAACTGCCATTTTTTTCCTGATAATAACCTGGATTTCTTGCTTTAATGCCACATAGTAGCAGTATTTTCTGTGCTATATGAATTGTTTTATATTTTCCTGTATGATCTGCAACTGCTTCAGGGGGTGAGTCTTGAATCAGATCTACATGCAGCCTGCAGATATTGGGGTAGTTTATTACCTATGTATGCAAAACTGAACTGAAGTGTGAATGTCAACTTCAAAGTACTCTGAATCATGTTGTAGCATTTTTCACTAAGTGAGTAGATATCTGTGACTATAAAAACTGATTCTGTGTACAGTTCTGTATTTGTACATTCGCCTTTGCTAGAACAATGTGAACATAAAAATGTCATACTGATCCAATTTGTAGCCTATTCTCTGGCACGTCAGTGTTCTCTGAGAATGTGAAGTAGAATGTTGTCTATTGTTATCTTCAGTTTCTTAAAATAAGAGATCATGCTGTTTCTTAAAATAAGAGGTCAAGAAGTTACTGCTCCAGGTAGAATAAAGTCCATGTCCTGTTTCCCACCCCTGTTACACCCAACACAGAGGTAAAGAAGTCAAACGTTCCGGTTCATGAGGGAACTTAAAACCATTCTAGTTAGTTATTGGCACATTAATGGATTACCTAGAATAAATAAGATAGCACTGTTGTATTTTACTTATTCTAATCAACAAATATCTGCTCCTAAATCCATTTTCTGATACTTTTCACCAACAGTAAAAATTACAACTGGGGTATGTGGAAAAAAGTCTGTCTGAATAAATGCATACCTTTTTTCCCTCACTTATTTGAATGTTATGATGGAATATAAAATCTTTATGTCCAGCTTAATATTTGCAGTATTTTGTGACATACTGTGTTGGCCCAGTGTCAGGCAAACTGCAAAAGATAATGACTCTTACAGACTGTTTTAAATCATAACGTGTATTGTTCCTGGAAGTTTGATCAGTTAAATCTAAGCCACTGTAGTATAACTTGAAAGACACTTAATTGGTGTTCACTGATACATAGCTCAAAGAGATATAAACTTTACATCTGGAATTTAAGCACTGTAAATAAATTGTTTTTGTAAAACTGCACAAAAGTATGATCCCTAATTTTGCAGGCAATATTCTGAACTTTCTGGTGATTTTGAGTGGCATTAAACAAGTAAAACATTCGATTCTTTGATAGTTTTAGCTTATAGTTCATTATAGCGTTGCAAACTTCATATTTAGCTAGAAATAAAAAAAGGGAATATGCTGTTGGATAATGTCTTTTTTTCTGCATCTCATTTTTCTTGTTGTCTTTTTCCATGTATTATTCATCTTTTGGGAAGAGCCATCAATGCCTAAAGGTGCTTTTGTAATGCTTTCTCATTAATGCTGATTCTTCTAGACAATTTATAAATTGATGTGTTCTGCCCCCTGTGAGAATAAGGATATATTGCTTAGAAACAAATCAACAAGAATCCTGTGGTTACATTAGGCCTTGAAAGATGACGATAGCAGGATTGTTTTAGCAACCCATGCCACTGTGCAATCTCCTTTAGGAAAAAAGTTAGAATTAGAGAAACTCAGAGGCTGTTCACAGATGGATGAAAGGAGCCTCCACTAGGGTTAGTGACCATCTTTGCTCTACTGCAAACACAGTGCATTCTCTGCAGCATTATTTTCTGGCACTGATGGCATAAAACATGCTTGCAGAAGAAATTAAATATGGGAAGTGTTTTACAAATTATGAAACAAAGCAACAGAGCTTTTCAGATCAAGTAAGCAAAGTTGTTCTGTCATTATAAATAACAATGTCCAAAAGAATGATGTAATATGCTGTATTTTTATGGGACTTTTTTGTATAACTGTTTAATATATATTTCTTTAATATTTATTTTGTTGCTTTAGGTTTGGAGAAATCATGCTATTATTTTAGATGGAGTACTAAATGGAATCATCAATTTAAATGCAGAACTTGATTATTAAACATACGTTCATAAGTGGTGACTGTACAGTAGGTGTATATTTTGTCATTAAATAACACTACTTCAGTACCTACCTGCCCTTCTGGGGACAGAGTTTTTTTGAAGCATCCTGCAGGACAACCAATTTAGGCAGTGGTACAATTAAGTAAATGGATTCTAGATAACCCTAGTTTCAGATGCAGAACTTTCAAATCTAGGGACTGCTTTCAACCCCAAATTCTAACACTAACTAATATTGATGGCAGCACGTTTGGCTATGGTAATTTATAGGGCAGTTGAATCACCAGACTGAAATGCATACCAAAGAATAGTCCAGGAAAACATAAGTTTACCAAAGGAAAGTGAAAATGGGTAATTTTAATAATTTGAAGAAAGGATTTGTAAAAAAAATACATGGAAACTAGGAAAAAAGAACAACAAGTCAATCTCTGCTTGTGAAAGAATTAACTAAATTTTTTAATTTAGTCTGCTGTCTGGAAACAAGTATCAAAGAACCTTCATGCAGTCAGAAATGAATAATGAACTATGAGAAAAGAGATAACAGGTTGGGGTGCTCGCAATGAGGCTTCATAATGAGAGAAGGAGAAAGAAAAGTAGAAGATAAGAGGCATAAAGGAAACGAGACAAATTAATGTCAGTGGAATATTTTGTCATTTCTATTGTAGATCATTGAAGCTTCTTTATGACTGAATTATTCAAGTATCAGTAATCTTTATATCTTAAGGAACTAAACACAGGTACTTTCAGTTAGCTGTTCTGTACTTGGGTGCTGAGGGACTTGACAGTCAGAATTCAGCCCTGTGAGATTGTCAAGGCAGTTTCATAATCTCGTAACTCTCCGACCTGCTAACAAACTGGAGCTTATCTGAATTCAGAGTCAGTCTCTGGGTTAGATAAAGCAATACTCTTCTCATGCAAACCTCATGAGCGAAGTTCTGATAACTTGAAATAGTAATAAGCCTGCAGCGTGGGTTGTTTTTTTTTTCCCTGCTCTTCATAAAGTTATAACTTCAAGGTTTCCCAGAATTCTAAACATGTTGCAATTTATCAAAAACATGATTTTAATCATAAAAATATGTGAATAAAATAAAGTAGAAAAGCAACTCGTGACATATCCCACAGAACTCAAACAAAACTAATTTATGTGAAGTGTTACATGTGTGCATGTATGTGCCAGTGTCCGTAATTCTCACAAAAGTGGCAATACAAAATATTAAGATTTTGTGGTTTAAAGACTATAAAAAAACTTTTCTACTATTTTGTCACAGTGAACTATTTCCCTTATCAAAACTGTTCTGTTTTAGTGAGAAAAGATAATTATTGTCATAACAGTCAAAATTGTCTGCAGTAACATACAGTAACTTTTCATATATAATTGCATAGCTTTGATGATCTGTTTTGGTCAATTTTCAGAGTGAATCTATGATTTTTTTCATTCAATTCTAAAAATACACCAGGATGTTGATTTAAGCATAGAAAAGTTTCTCTGTGAATTTGAATGGGTTTTTTTCCCCCAGTCAGACTGTCATCTTTGTGTCCTTGTGGCTGTTTTTCAACCACTTCAACATCCCATGCCTGGAAACAGTCATATCACTGCTACATTTAATCTTATAGTTTATTCCGCTGAAAAGGAGTGTTGTGGAGGGTGTAAATTAAAAACCTCAATGACTATTTTACTATTCTATCAGACCATGAGACAGGAAGTTGAATTGACAAGTTTTTTTCATTTTGCAGAGCTACTAGAGAAGACACACAGAAGAGAGGAAGAAATGGGAGCTCTCCAGGTATATTTGCTGCTCAATTAACTAGCTACATCTTTGTTCACCTTAAAAATTACAAAACTGTATTACAACATTGTGATTTTCTGAACTCCCTTGTAGCTTAAATTCGGATTTGGAAATATACGCAGACAAATAGAGACACAACAGCTAGTTATACTCACTGCTGACTTTCTACCTTCCAATTAAGTTGCATGTTAGCGAAGATTGAAGTAGTCAGCATTCTCTTATGAGTCTATCAATCTAGTCCATCAGTGAATATAATGCTGCTTTTAAGTCACACTATATACTGAAGTTGTTATGTTATACTGCAGGCTTCATTGAAACTCTTTTTGAATACAGGCAGGCAGTGCTAATCTGCATTGCAACTGCAAAAATGCTGCATATTCCACTTCACTGCTTGAATTAAATTCTCTGGGCTGTGTTACTTTCTTTTGTATCTCTGAATAAAACAGAAAGTAAAATATTTTAAGTAAGTATCTAAAGTCTCTAAAACACCGTATGTCCATATTCACCCTCCTGAGGAAGAAGGGACCAGTCAATATATGCTAGGACTTAATACAGTATAATAAATTCTCATTGTATGTCATCTAGCAGTAAAGCTGTTTGTGCTAAGCACTTTAAATTTGCGCTTCGAAAGTCAGATTTACCCTAAGCTCAGCTTTGGAATAGTATTTAAGCATTACAGTCAAAGAAAACATACTCCTTTCATATTGAAGTGACTAAGGAAGCAAAACCAGGCTGGAATGTCTGAGTTGCGAGGCTCAGAAGACTATTAGGGAGAGTAGTGTGTGTATTCTTCAGAATACAGAAGGAAAAAAAGAAATTTTTGACAACAAATTACTGCAAACAACACCCAACATGGATATGAAAAGAAGTTTATATACAATTTGAAGAGTGTATCAATGAGGCAGCATTCTGTAAGTGTACTGAAAGCAGGACATTTGTGAGGGAATTGATGAAGGTAAGGCTCGTAAAGAAAATGAAGTTATGTATTGACCTGAGTTTTGATCATAGGAATTTGTTTGAAGATAACCCTTCTCATATAATAAATAGAAGGCATTTTGAGGGCTTAAAGGTATCAAAGAGTGAACATATAGTTTGATCCAGTAAGAGACAAGTTGCAAAGCCTAGAAGTTACACAACACACCAATCCAGCTGTTTCCTGTTCAAACAAAAATCTTGGCCTGGCTTTCTGGCAGCTCAAGTTCAACAAGGCTGAGAGCTTGTCTGCGCAAGCAGTTTACACAGGTGCATATCTAGTTACATCAATGTAAAAAGATCTGCTTTCATGTGAAGCAATTTTGCATCTGCTTTCATGTGAACCTTTATGGTTGACAAATTGTTCTAATGATGTTAGTTCTGATTGAATGAGGAGTAATTTTATACTGCAGGAAGTTGCATCATAATAGTGTCTTGTATGGATATATGTGCCTGCCTGTATTTCTGATAGTCTGTAAAACTAAATTACGTTATACCCTTCCCTAACTGGCAGTTCTGGTTAAGAGTGTGAACTGTAGTGCTCTGGCTGCTATTTTTATATTCAAATGCTTGATAGCAGTTTTTTCTTCCTTCAGATATCCATGCATTCACAAAGTACTCAGCAAAAACATTTATTATTCTTCTAGATAGTGTTATAGCCAGCTTAGTCAATATGTGTCAAAATATTTCCAATCTGGGATCCTCTCTTCATGTAATGATGTATTCTAAACTTACTGTGGCCAAATATATACAACTTTACTAACAGATGGTTGTAAAAAACAACTTGTATCATCAAGACTGAAACTCCCCAAACTGTTGCATCTTCATATATAAAGGATTAGAACAAAGAGGAAAGTGAGACCTTTTTTTTAAATATGGCATTTCCAGGAGCTGAAACGGGGTTTCTTATCCTTTTGTTAATCCAGATAACATGGAGTATTTTTATTCTCTGAGCCCCACTTAAGCAAAGCATGTGTATAGTTGGTTAATGTATGAATGCTTTCATTGAGGTAGGTTGCTAGAAGGTACTTGTTTGTCAGATGAAGAGCTACTAGCAAATCAAATAGTACTCCTTCCCCCAAAGCCTCCAGTCCATGGATAGAATTCACTTAATATGAGGTCCTACTCAGTTAGAGTCCTTGGTTCAGTAGACAATTGGTCATGTTGATTGTTGGGCTTTTTTCATCTACAATTCCTATTTTGATAATTATCTTATAAATACATAGAAGTATATGAAGTAAGTCAGTCCTTGCTGTGTTCTGTTTGCAGTCCAAATAGACTGTATGTGTAAAGCATGTACGGGAAACAGGCGGAAAGAAAGATTGTACATTTTAGACATTGTGGACAGACAATTCAAAGCATTCAAAACAGGCTTGGGAGTGGCTTAGGGAGTTTTTTCTTGTTACTTGACCCATGAACATTGACCACAGTCTTAGAAAAGCTAGAGGAAACATGAGGAAATCAGTCAGAAATCAATGTATTGCTGTGGGCAAATTATGACAGGGGATATCATGATGTTCTCTGCCATGTCTCAGCATCGTATTCCCTAGAACTAAGGTTGTATGTTTTATTATCCTTTCAGTTTGCTTATTTTTGGAGAGGAGACAAAAAGCACCTTTTGTTAAAAATAATTGGAATTAAGTACAATTAGTGCTACAATGCCATCAGCTGAAATCTGCAAAGGACTGAAAGAAAAAAGCAGTTTTATGAGTCTTGTTCCTGGAAATATTTGGCTAGTAGTTTTTTCTTGTGTTCCTCTAGTCAGGGAATATATTGGACTGCAACTAGCGTGACAAAGACAAAATAATACCTCATTAAGTAGAAAGTGAGAATTTTTATAACTACATCTTTCTACATGAACCTGACTTGTCTTATGTGTCAAGGTGGACACTGCATTTCTTTTGTACAGAGTATTTGGGATGTAGGAAGCTGACTCTTTTTGTGACTTTACTGTATTCTTGGATTTCCATTTTGAACTTACTGCATACTTTCGACTAGTTTCTACGTTATACACAAATTTATATTTGTATATGAGTTTACATAGTAGTATATGTCTAACGTCCATGTTCTCATTACACTTCTGTTTGCTCTCTGTGTTAGGAGAACATGCACACTCATCATAATACACTTTTTAGTTTCTGAGAAATCACTTACATTCTCAATCACTGCTTGCATTCTCTCTGATAACCACTTCAAGAATATATACTCACTTATTATTTTGTTGGAAGAAAAAATACTTAAGGTTTTCACCTTCCCTTTTATCAAAGCTGTTCCATGGTACAAAAGATTGGATTCATGAAAATAATATACTATGCAAGACATGGTAATTGCAATATTCAACTGAATTGTGCTCTCTGGGAAAATATTTACAAGCTATTTTCATTTGCTTTCAAATTAGTGACGTGCTAATAGGAGTCAAAAAAATGAGTCTTAATTTGAAAATACATTGATAGTGTATAAATGATCCATGGTAAATTCCCTAATACATTAGATTAGATTGGTCTTCATAAAATTGTTTGCTGAGATTGTAAGAGTTTATTATATCTTTAGAATTTGGCAACTAGATCATGCAGTTTATTTAATGTATGAGTCATTTTGAAAACACTGTTTATTCTACCATTGTAATCATCCTACTGATACATTCCCTCACTTAAGACTTTATTTTCAAAGTAGTCCTCTTTAGCTGAAGAAAGTTATATCTGAATTGCTGTTCATTATCACCGCACATTTATGAGATCTGTAAATAACATCTTTTTATAGTAATGAGTTTGGATTTTGTTACAGAATCTTTAAATAAATATGAGTGTCTGTAACAGCCACTGCAATTTTGTGGAAGAACAAACATCTCAAAATAAATATTTTTGAGTTTTTCACATAAAATTTTTTGTTGTAAGTTTGTTCTGATGTACAGAAATACTCAGTCTGTTTCTCAGATCTATTTCTATGAAAGAATAAAGACTCTAGCACTTCATACACTACCTTTCATGAGAAAAATGTGAGTAATATTTGAGCAAGGTAAGAGTTCCGGTAATGGTTATGCACTCTAAATGTGGGGTCACCTAAACACTTGAATGTGTGTTTTGTCAGATTGCTTAAAATACCATACCTAGTCAGTATATTGTGCCAGAGTACACCATCTTTATTTTGTTAGCTTAATATTTTTCCTAAAGATACTTTTAAATGGAAAAAGAATATTAAAATATATACAGTAAATTTGCAACTTCTGGTTTCTCTGTATCCTGTGCTGGATTAAAATTGACACAAGCTTATTTTATTTGCAGTTTATGTTTGTCTGACATGAGACTATGACTAACGTCATCCTGTTATTAATAAAACATTATTCAGAGCTATTTCTGGATAAAAGAATAACGATATGGAATTTACTTTTTAGTTTTCTAAGGAAATGCCTAAAAGAAAACTAAACCAGATGCTAACATGACATGAACTCCAAAACATGCTAGATTTACAGTCCGAGATGATAAAAAAAAGAAATAATTCTTTCATATACTTAAGAGTAAAATCAACAATGTTGAAAATCTAATGTACTAGTTGAAGAAAATATATTTTGAAGTAATTTTTTTCAAATCCTTTCCTTGTTTCTAAGGAGTTCCTTTTTGTTGGAACAAATTTCTAAGATAGTATGATAAATAGTCATTCAGTGAAGTACAAAAGTTCCTATTCAATGAGACGATTACAAAAAAAACTATATATATGACCACTGAAACCCCAAAATTAATCCTATTCATCATTGTTTGACTTACATTGTGTTTATATTCTTTGCTTTCTAATGGCATCTTTTACTTTATTTTTAGGAACGTATTATGGCCTTAGAAATGGTAAGTTTCTTAAATTAATTTCCAAACCTATCACAATGACATTGCTGATAATTTGTCTAAATTGTGAAAAATATTGTTTTCATATATTTTAAAAAAGAAAAGGTTGCAGTTCTGTGTTTTCAACTGTCATTTTACTTTCAAGAGAAGATGTGATAATTTTATACTGCACCTTTCTGTGTAGGTTTTTACTAGAGTATTTTTGCATTCATTATATGAAATACAGTGTATTTCAGTGTTGTCATTTTTCTGTGCAGTTCAGTCCTCATCCCATTGCTGGGAAGAGAAATGTAGATTTGATCCATACAGAAGATGTTATTTTCCTAACACTTCTAATGGTTGAGGTCCCTATGATAGATCTAATTATTTCAGTGACTGTTACATGTACTTAATTCTTTACTTACTTACCTGGAGTGCTGTGTTCCGTTCTGGGCCCCTCAGTTCAGGAAAGACATTGAGGTGCTGGAGCAGGTCCAGAGAAGAGCAACGAGGCTGGTGAAGGGACTTGAGCACAAGTCCTGTGAGGAGAGGCTGAGGGAGCTGGGGTTGTTTAGTCTGGAGAAGAGGAGGCTCAGGGGTGACCTCATCACTCTCTACAGCTACCTGAGAGGAGGTTGTAACCAGATGGGGGTCGATCTCTTCTCCCAGGCAGCTATCAGTAAGACAAGAGGGCCTGGTCTCAAGCTGTGCCAGGGAAGCTTTAGGCTGGATGTTAGGAAGAAATTCTTTACAGAGAGCGTAATCAGGCGTTGCAATGGGCTGCCCACGGAAGTGGTGCATCCTCCGTCCCTGGGGGTTTTTAAGGTGAGACTGGATGTGGCACTTAGTGCAATGGCCTAGTAACCGTGGTGGTAGTGGATGAGGGGTTGGACTTGATGATCTCAGAGGTCCTTTCCAACCCAGCTGATTATATGATTCTTTGGACTAGGAGGTATAGACAGAATCAGTTCATCTGCCTGTATCAACATTGCAACTAAACTATAAAGGAATAAAATTTTAATCATTAATTAATATAATTTAATAAGATCTTAAGTTTGAAGGACAAAACTTCATGCCTGTACATGCCATGAATGCAGCCGGAATATCCAGATGTCCCAAACTAGCAAGTCCATCAGGTGGACTAGCTGGAATTGCCCTATAATTTCTGAACAAGGCTTTCCTCTTATGTAAGATTGCCCAGTAATACATCATGAATTGTATGTGTCAGGCCCATAGTTTCTTTTCCTGAGAAATCCAGAAAATTTCATCTAAAAAACCCACTACTGAGACAATATCAATGCTGAAAATATAAACTTTTAAAATTTACCAGTGCAAATTATTATTTTGTTCTCTCTGATGGTTTGTGCATCTCTGAAAACAGTTTCTGATTTCAAAAATGTATTTAAAATATAATCAATATCTTAAAAAAAATGCTTTCATTAACTCATAAAAGACCCTTTGGAATTAAAAGTGCCATGCTGGTACTCCTGCCTTATGGAAGTAGGAAGTTGATGCTCGCATTCAATGTGCTGGCACTTCACATAGTGCTGTGTGAGTGTAAAGAGTGTCAACAGGACATTAATTCTGTTCAGGGTCATCTCTTATTCATGGTTTGCTTACATGACAACCAGTCAGGCATGTATCCACTGTCAGGCATTTCTCACAAACCGTGAGTTAAACTGCCTGCAAACTCCTTGTGCTTTCTGCTCCCACAGCCATTTTGACACAGGCAGAGGATATTTGCTTGCAAATAGCACAATATCATACAAATTCAGTCCATATTTTGTGACAATGTTTGTTCCTATTTTTTATGGAGCTTTTCTCCTTTTTATACTTCCAATTTCTCCAATTTTTAAAAGGAAGATTTATAAGTTACTTTTCAGATAGAAGAAAAGGATTATTATCAGTAAAATACAATTTTCTTTCTTAATACAAGTTGGTAGGTAACATCTGAATACAAATTTGTGATACTAAATCCTGGAACTTTTGTTATTGCTGACTTAAGAAGATATGTAGTGTTAAGCCCTGAGTTTGCTAACATGACAAATATGGTCATCACTGAGGCTGTCGAATACTTCCAAGGCACTCATTTTACTTTTGCCATTAAGTTCCTCTATGATGTCAAGCAAATAACTTGAACTGAATTTTTCAGATATGTTTAATTACTTTGTGTTTCTCATTTTTTGGGTGTCTGATTTTGTGATTTTTGAGGCCTGATTTACAGAAATGCAATTTACTAAAAGCTAAATTCAGTGGGAGCTTTGGCTATCTGTAGTCGCTAAGTATATTTAAAAGTCAGGTGTTAGATTGCTGATGTGAATACTTTGAAATAATAAGTGGGTTTAACCTTTATATCTCTGTTTCAGTTCTGAGGATGGCAGCATCCTCTCTCTGCCCCCTTCAGTGATCTAGAAAAGAGGAGTAATGCTTACGCAGTCTGAATGTGTCAGGGTGAGCTATGATAGAAAAGCCCCCGAGCAAAAGAATGAATAAGGCTTGCTGTTTAAGGGATCCTTAAGTATCTTTAAATTTCTAGTGTGTATGTCTACATAGCTGTAAATCTATGTAGCATTTATGAGTGCATAATAGTTACAGTAGTTATATATTTGTATAATTTTTGTATCAGCTGTTATTTGAATGCTCAGAGCATGACATCAGAAAAAGTACCAGTTAAGTATTTTGTGATTTGATTCAGGTTACAGAAAGTGGAAATGGAATAGAGACGTAAGGTATTAAATTCAAATTCAAACAGAATCCTTAGTGAAAAAAAAGTTTAAATTGTGTAAAAAGCATTTTCTTAGAATTTTAACAGCGATGGTTCCTGAGATTCGCAAGATGCAAGATATAAAAAGGTGGAGAAGAAGGGAAGAGACACATACACACACACGCATACACTATACAAGATGCATAGGAAAGCATCAGCACTCCAGAACTACTCTCCTACTCTTCTTCCTTTCTCTATGATCTGCTTGTTTCTCACTCCTGCACTTGCCAGTAAAATTGTTGTAGTAGCCATATGATGAACTTGCCAGCTTAGCTAGTAAAAAAAAATTGGGAAAGAAATGTGACATGAACCTTTCAGATTCTTTTTAGAGCTCTGGGTGAATAAGCCTTCCCGGCCTAGCTTAATCTAACTCAGTGATTTTGTGAGTTGCTGCAAACTACGAGGTCTCTTGCCTCATCTCTGATCCCTGTCAGCTCCTTCTCCTCTCAGCAGTGTTTTTGATCTGGAAGCTCCATCTCTTGTCTACTGTGCCAGACAGTTTCTTGGGTCTTCTGTTTCCTTAGCCAACTCCTGATTCCCAAGGAAAGTGCTATATTAGAACCTTCTTTCAAGATATGACACATGATCTGATCACTCCCTTAAGGAATCTGAGAACAAATAGTACCCATTAAAGAACCTTTTGGATTTTTTGGCTCTTTTTCTTCAATCAAATCAATTTTGCAATATGATTCAATCAATACACAGCTTCTTGCATCAGCAGGTGGTGCAGGACAGGAGGAGAAGCTGGAAGGTAAGAAGGAAGAACAGGGTTAATTAGACAGGCTCACTAGTGGATATAAATGGAACTGAAGAATCAAGGTGTTTTCTGGAATAATCCTTCAACCCTTGAGAAGTGCCAGGGTAACAAGTACAGGCAAAACTGAGGTTTTGAGTACCTGGAAGTTATGTATTTGGCTCTTTTTTTTAGTTGAATGCTGTTTAATAAAGTGAATTTAATTATTTCATAGCATTTAATTTTCTTTATTACTTTAGGACTCAGTTATGCAGTCTGACATTTTAAGAGAATGAGTATGATTTTATCTTTAAATAAGGTGATTTACTTTATTCTTGAGTGTAACTTGGTTCTGACATACAGGATTTGGATCTATGTTATTTACAGAAAAAGGTGTATGACTTTTTTTGGGAAAATCTGTTTTGTATTCTGAGATGTGGCTACAATGGGAAGTGTATGTATTTCTCATAAAGAGGTCAGGATGCATTTTGTAGGTGTACACTGCTACTATGCCATGCTTGTGACTTCAGTGGGTTTCTATAAACTACATAGTGTTCTTTGTGAGCGTACATTGCAAGTCATATTCCTCTGCCTTAGTAGTACTAGTCTGACATAAAAGACTGCAAAATTTAATTTGAAATCAACCACATACTGAAGTTATTCCAGTGAATATATGCATTCTATATCCTTTGATCAATAAAACAGCTTGCTGCTTTCTGTAGAGAACCCAGAAGTGAGGTTACAACTTTCTTAGAATACTTGGATCAGACTTTTCTGGACACAATTCAAATTTTGGTTACAATGTCCATAAATCTAGGTTAACTCCAGTAATGCTCTAAGTATGTGGCAAAATTGTTATTAAGTATGAGTTTCCTTTTCAGAATGAACATTTATGTGTTTTGTTGTAACTCATTTTTATGTTGAAGAAAGTAAGGTTTTGAATACCAGTAAAACAAATTTCTCTCTGCATGCACTCAGCTATTAGATTATTCTCTGTAGTAGCAGGCTCAAATTTGCATCAGTTTTCTGGTTTATCATCCAATTTAAAAGAAGAATTAGAAGGATGACAATACCCAATGCATTTCACAGAGAGATTATGCAACTGCCTGACACCATCCATTTTTAGGTTCTCACTCTCTCTGTATCTCTCAATGGGCCTTTCATCAATAAGTAAATCTTGCTGTTAGCTCTTGAGATTAATTCATTATTTTCATACTTTGTATGTATGAATGTTTAGGAAATCTTGAATCTAAGGGTTAATACTTTCTTTTCTCCTTGTTTTGCTTCTGTAGTGTCTTGCCAAAACTAGCATTACATCAAAGGCCTTCTGGTCCTCCCAGAATGCAGCCATTCTTTGATCTTATAAAAACGACCAGAAGAGGAGCAGCAGTTTGAGATCCTCTGTCCTGCCTGCCTCGCCTTTTCCTTTCCTTTCATCAGCGAGCCAGTGTGCCACTTCCCTTCCTGGGGCTTCACTGAGTCCTTCCTCTGCTCACTCCCACCAAGTAAATTCTGCCTCCTGATGGT